AGCACGGCCAAACAGCTTCGCAGGGATTTTATATATATATTTTTTTCCTCCCTTTATTCTACTCTAAGCCAAGTGGGTTTTTTTCCCTCAAATTCCCAAATTGCTCATTTCGTCACCGCCGACCCCAAGCTTTGGGTCGCAGCAGGTCGACCTTTATCCCAAAACATACGATTGACAGGGAACTTCGAAACATAGGTAGCGAATTCGCTATCTTGTATGTATCTTGCATGGCGACACGGGATCTTAGCGGACGCCCTCCCGGCTATCTCGCATATCTCCCGCCACCCTACAGATCTGAAGAAGGATGGGTTTCGGATCGGGTCTTTCCCCTCTCCCACATCCATATTACTAACAGATTTATATTCCATGCAATTTGGAGAATTGCATGTGCACCACTATGAATTTTCATCTACGGGATATTGCTCGGATCTCAATACGGGACATGCGGCATCGAGGCGCATACGCCCAGCATGCGACTAGCCGTTGAATCCGAGTCTTGGTTGCCAGGTACAGATGTAAGCACAAGCACAAGCACGAGCACAAGCACAACATCGCCTTGTTAGCCAACCAACAATTGGGTTTAGACGAGCTCGATGTGCTTCAAGCTTTGGGCTTTACGGTCGGGCGACAAAGTGGCTTACCTAGCCACAACACCATGCAAACATCACCACTTTGCTTTTCCCTTTGCCTAAACAAAGCCAACACGAGAGCGGAGGACTAGCATGTGCCCCTCTCAACCCCGGCTTGTTTCGAGTCCTTCTTGATGGGGCTTCACACGTCATATGCATCTCGACCCAAACAACCCGGGCCAATCCAAAGTCGCCAATGGTCTTTACTATGGGTTCCTATCTCATCGTCTAGCCAATCACCGCTTCGCAACCTGGCTCTAGCCCCGGCAAATACTACCGAACCCCGGTCCGTCCGCGCTCCTGTGACGTTTTTCTGCTTTTACCTCCCACCAATGGCGCCGGCGCTGCGGCGAACGCTATGCAATCACACACATGTGGTCTTTCGCTCGCGCGCGTGCAATATATCAATCAATCAATCAATTAATCAATCAATCTATTTCAATTTTCCCCCCATCTTCCTATGTATGTAGGGAGGCCCGCTTCGGAAGACGCACGTGCAGCTGGCGGTCTGCTTGCGTCCGACAGCTTTACTTCTCCCGTTTACGTGCGCGTGCAGCAAGCATCGTGCAGCATGGGGGGAAAAGAAAAAGAAGAAGACGTTCATTCCTCGAGTCGGCGGCTGCGGAACTACATACCCTACTCGGCCCTTGCAGGTCCATGTACAATCAATCCCCTCTTCTACTGGCACGTTGCTGTCGACAGCATTCCTGCCCAGCAAACTAATTCGCTTCGCTTCTTTTCCCCCCCTTCGAAAAGCAAAAAAATTAACAAGCTCGTATTGGGCTAGTTGCTTTTTTTCGTATCCCGTCCCCATGTCGCTTTGTCGGGCGCTTTCGGGTGGCCTTTTCTGGTGGCCTTTTCTGGTTACCGTGATATCTTATTGCGTTTTGCATAAATTGAATGAGTGGATGTTCGATACCCCCTCCGCCTTTCCCCCCCATTTTGTCTTGGCGGGCTTTGGTGGTAAACTTGTCGGTTGGGTTGCATTGGTTTGGGTTCATTTTTCATGTACTTTTTGCTTCTTGTTTTTCCACGGCGTCCAATTGGGGAACTGGGGCTGGGCATGATGTGTGGGTACCAATAGGCCTCGGGCATATGAATTGGGAGGCATCTAGGGTATCGACATGCGGGTGGGCGAATACATACACGAAGGGCATAATGGCTTTGGGGGTATTTGGAATGGAAAACCATAAGGGGATCTACACTGGGTGGCATTTTTATTACTATATTCTGATATAATTCAAATGATGGTACATTGTCTTCTCACCATTGGTCTCTCTATGCAATTATATCTATGACTTGATTAAACGAACTTAATCAATATGAAGGATTTGAAAATTAATCGGAGTTTTCCAAGCTAGTAAATATATTCTAACTTGAAGGACAAGCACAAGTGGGACTAACTGGAATAGCCGGTTTCTCTAATCTCCTAACTACCACTATACCAAATCGAATAAATGAGGCTCTCTAGATCTACATTATCAACTACGAGACCTTGACCAGACTAGATGCGCAATGTGCATACAGCTTACGTGTATAAGTGTTTTAAGAGTCATGCCCAAGCCGTCGCAGTCCGCCCCGTACGTACACGCACTCATTTACGCGTATGATACAGGCGGGCTAGGAGGCGTGCATTAGATGCCGCACTCTAGATTAGAAGGGAGCTGGCAGGAGACTAGTGTCGTACTATAGGAAGGACGGCGCGCATCGAATGCTCGACGGTTGTTTCTAGCTTATAGCATAGGGCGCGGCGCCGAAGGACTGCCGTGCTCTTAGTGAGAAAAGGGGCGAGCTATTACGTGTATGGACGGGAAGAAGTCTATGATACAATCGATACCGTATTTCTTCTGCTTAGATGCTGCGTACCTATCTAGCTTATACGCTTGAATGAACTTCAAACCCCTAAAATTACTTACAATATTATATCTCACATGCCTATCACTTAGGTACACAAGATAATCTCTTATGCCATGTGGTTGTACTAGGTAGGGTAGCTATGAGGTAGATTGGCATCATGATAGCTATGTCTTACCAAACACCTTGATGCAAGAAACCAGTCATATATTAACTTCCAATGCTATAGTGTCGTATAGTCGGGTCTATCGGAGAGCTTAGCTGCAATAATCGTCACCGTTATTGGACCCTGCCTGTCTCCTTGATCTCCTATAGGCCAGAGAGCTCTATCCCAGCTCAACTTTCGTCCTACTATGCTAGTAACAGCCGCGAGTTAGAGCTTAAGAGGTCGACGAGTAATCTTCATGCCGTGCTTATTCCAACTACATGACCTCGACATGTGAAGTAGCTTAGCTGTCTGCACAACTGCACTGCGACACCATGATAGCTGTCTTCAACCACACATGCCAAGCCACGACTCCGGCAGATGCTTAAATCCTGCTCGTTCAAAGAAGGGGTTTGGCAGCTCTCCGTCTGAGGGGACACTGTAACCCTCCTGTCGTTGAACATTCCCTGTGAGCACATGCGCGCATAGGAACATGTGCCCTAAGCATATGTCATAGAAGTTGGCAAGCTATGGTTGGTCCGAACATGATCCTGAATTATCCAATTCAGCCAAAATGCGACGATCAGGGTCCTTTTTCATCATCATGCAGGATGCGCGTCGACATCATCGCGCAGTACGACCTCCTCGTCCCGAATTTCGAGGTACAAAGCCAACAGGCCGAACCGCAGATCAAATTGGTGGCTAGCACTTTTAAACACATGTATGTATACATGTATGCGGCGCGCGGTGTGGATTCTGTCATCCCTTGGACGAACGTGCGTTCGCGGCGTCGAATGCAAGCCTAGCATATATAGCTCACAACATATGTAATTCGGCCCCGTTCGTAAAACGCTGTGTGTGCTTGCTATTCTACCCAATACGAAAATTGCCTAACCCTAGCCAGCCACACACTCAATCACGCCCTGCGTTGACGCATACCAACATACAGCAGCAGCAACGAAAACCCTATCTGGTGCGCCATGGGTCGCGGGGAAGTAATCGCATTAGCCTAGTCGTCGGCTAGTCAGGCAAATGAGGGAATTCAGAAATGTCCGCGGGGAAAGCTCAAACCCGCTAGCGGTCCGCGCAGCATCCAGTAGACGATCCAGTAGACGGGTTGGGATGGTGACATTGTCTGACCCCCACAAAAGAGCTTGGAAGCAGGGAAGCTGGGTTATCCGACGTATCTGAGTAGCTACTGTTGATGTCGCCGACGAGTCACGACTGCATGCTAATGCAGACTGGGTATGGTTTTGGGGTAACAAGTTAAAAAAGAATGATAAGCTTGGGGAGTGCCGGCGCCAGGAACGTGTTCCCTTTGAAAGTTTACGCCGGTTATCTCGCGAAAAGCGCAGCTGCGAATCAGGTCGGACCAGCAAAGCGCCGTCGATTTCCATGCCTTGGTCAAAGCCGATTGTTAAGCCTTGAACCTAAGCCCTGGGTTCTCTTTTGGGTAGGAAAGTTTTCCGGATTCCGAGGCGGTAGATTAATAGGCCAATTAAAAACAAGCCCTCCAAGATAGGTACCTGTTTGTGTTAAACGGACATGACAAGCTCTCACATGCTCCCCCCCCCAATGGCCATGCAAGATGGGTACCCACCAACCTTTACCCAAAAACCTTAACTGAATTTCTAATGCGAGATGTAGATGTAGATGGTTTCCACCGAGGCGGATGATGTAGTGTAGCTAAATCTGTAATATGATGCAACACCGAGATCCCGGAACACCGGTTGGCTTCCGTTAGCTTGCTAAGCTTGGCCGGTTTCCCGGTTTATTGTAGCCTGCTAGGTCTCATTAATAGGCCTCGTATATGTAATATAAGCTTGGATATTTATCTACCTGCATTTAGCTCTTCGGCTAATAATAAGCCTTGAATTGAAGGGAGAATCAAGCAATGGTAGGCAAGCATTTAAGCGGTACCTAGAGCCTCTTCGTCTTAATACGCAAGCTTAACGACTTAAGTTGACTCGACCAATCAGAAGCATACATATGCAGGGACGATTGCTTCAATTTTCGAGATGTTCTTTTTTTTAGGTACATGTCTGTAGTAAGGTAAGTAATAGTAAAGCTGGCAATTTACTTAAGACTTGGAAAGAGTTTTACTTGTTTGGCTCAAAGGTACGGCGCAGATGCGCTCAATTAGATGGGAAAGCTTGAAACTGAAGAAGGTACACCGTAGAGTGTCTTTTGAAAACTAGCAGTTGAATTAAGAAACTAGCCCACTCAACTTTAGACAACAACTACAACTACAACTCATATCTCTTCTTCCTCAACCAACGTATACTTTTCGAGTGTTGACCTCTATAACTCCTAGTTTTGTGGATCCCTGGCAACTGTAACTGAGGCATGATTCAGGCAATTGCTGCCTGCATTCTACGCATATATAAACAATAGCTAGATCCTAATCCTGTAATCCTAACTTAACAACGATGTCACCACTATTCTAGGAATCACAGTTTTACCAGGTGTCTTCTCACCAAATCTTTAAACATGGAAAAAGTCATGATGGAAATCGCATTGACCTTAGACTTGCTGTTCGTATTAATTAAAAACATATCATAGCTTATTATTTACCTTGGGTATTTATGAATAAGGTCTCCCGACCATGTCAGCATAATTGTTATTAGACTGCTTTTGACGCTATTCTGACTTATTCAGGATCTAATGCTGAATGCTACGAATTTCATCGTATAAATACCGTACGTACCTGAGCAACAGCCGCATTAACCCCGCCATTCACCGCTACGATCTCCATTCTTGGTTTCTAGGCACCGGCGACCTTGTGTCAACTTAGTTATTGTAGAGTTATGAAATAAAAGGGGCTCTTTATATAAAATTTAAAGTATTTTCAATAATCCATTTCATCTGTCTTGATATTGGGTAGTCACAGTACAAGCGCCATGTCATCCTTTATCTCCCTCGATCTCTCATACGAGGGTGACTCAGATATGGACAAGAAAATCGGTGCTACACTACAGGGCCTTGTTAACGACACGGAATCCCCTGAGTCTGCGGCGAAGATAATCCATGGAATGATTATTGACGACTGCCGTGACGCTTACACTTCTTACAATTCGGTATCAAATCCGACAGCAGAACAGATAGAATCTGGCACCGTCCGTACCCCTAACCCCGGTGGATGGATGGGATACCTCTGGGATTGCCTAGGAAGAGCAGCTATGAGAGTACCTGCTGACCATAAAGGTCAAGACAGACTTGTAGGTCTGCTCCAGGAACTCCAGCAATTACCTAAGAGCCCTGTCCCCGAGTTCGTTGCTGGAGAGATGAGGGAAACCATACTCTGGAATATCACAAAAGAGACTCAGTATGAAGGCCTTACTCAGTGGCTTTGGGATCTTGACCAAGGTACTTCCTCGAAGCTTTTCCCATCTAGATTCTGTAACTAATCTATCTATTTACCCTAGGCAACTTTAACGGTGCGCACCAGGTAGAGAGCGACCCAAATGCTGCTACTGCCTATACCAACTTCTCTGCTTTCCTGGCACGCCTATTAGCGTCCGGTGTAGCGGACACGAACACCCTAAGCGCACTACGGCGACCATCGCCCTTCGCAACAAGTCATCAAGACCATATCTTACAAGACTTGCCTCACCACGAACCTTACGCAGCTGCAGCGGCCCAGTGGATTATCTATGCTGGAGATGTACTCTTCGAGCTATGTGAAAAGCGCATACTCGTCGAGGTCGGGGGTTTGAGATACAGTCGGGCTTTGTGGCATGTATGGAGCGTTAAATTTAAAGTTTTTGCCGAGAGCAATGAGTCTAGCACTGAGGTTCGAGAGTTCGCTAGGCAGGCAGTGCATAAGATAGACCAGTGTAAGAGGGATGGTATTAATCCGGAGAAGAGCGTGATTGAGAAGTTTGGTTATATACGTCCGGAGGAGAACTAGTATTATGAATATGAACCAGGTCAGTAGTATTTGGCTAAACTAAATCTATCCTAATAATAAGCTCATCATCATTTGTCATCTAGTTTTGTGCCCATCATTTTTCATTCTATGTCTATTCCTCATCTTCACGTCAAACCGTTATGAGCCCCTTTCTATATCTAGACGTCGAAGGAACCCATATAATATCATCAAAATCCACGTGGAATGATTTAACCAACGCACTATTGCACTATCGAACCACCGTTACCTCCACGTCTAACTTAGAGACCTATTGCCCCTATTACCCCTATTACGCCCCACTTCTCGCACGTCCCCGTGAAAACATCATGCGACCAGAAGTGTTGAATATGCAAACCCCTTTAGTGGTCTCGAACAAAGGGGTGTGCGATTGGACCGATGCGGTAGCGGCCCTTAATTTCTCTTCCGATTGAGACTCTTGAATTGTCGCTTCAGCACATCGACGAGCTTACCTAGAGCACCGAAGACATAACCAAGTCCGAAGCTCCAGTTGCGAATTCGCACCGTGTAGATGAAGAAGTATACGAGAGCCCAATTAGAAATGCAGAAGGCTAGGAATATGCCGAAGTCTAAGGTTTTATGTTAGCACACATATCCGTACGTATATGTGCATATAATTTATAGGAACTTGTACAAGATATGGATTTCAACTTACCTCGCCATATTTCGCTAGCATTAATATTTAGTGTGGCAAGATATTCATTGCCAACGCTGTACGGGCAGTACTGGCACCCAGTTGTAGCCTCGGGATTAAGCAAGTAGCCTCCGGCACTCCGTGTAAACTCGCCAGCGTAGGACTGGCAAGTTTTGTTCGGAGGCGCGTTAAACTGAGCAGTCTCTGACGGGTCGCAACGAACGGGAACTCCATCAATCGACGCGGCAAGCATCCCGCCGATCCAGTATGTGGAGGGGTTGGCCCAGTACATCCAATACCTCCAAAACACGGGGAGTGTTGAGTAGGATCGTACCACACCATTGAATAGACTGAACATGACGAAGAAGAATGGTAATACCTACACCTGGTAGTTAGTATCAGCGAGCCTATCAATATGTCAAATCCTAGAACTTACATTGTCAATGACTCTCAGGCTAGGTGCAAACGCGCAGATCCACTGACCCCAGCTGGTCATGAACAGGAACATAAGCACCGTCATTATGAACGAGTATCCGGCAGCCAAGCTATTACCAGCGAGACCGCTGGGCCAACACCATAGAGCCCAATATATAATACCAGAAACTATGGCAGCGGGGATTTCAGCAACGATGTTGGCAGTACTGAAGGCTACCCAGCCATAAATCCGAGAAGGGTACTCGCGGGCTTGCCATAGGCCTAGATTCTGGTCGAACCTAGGCACGACAGCGTTGACGATGGTGGCTGGAATTATGATGATTAGGAATATGGTGAACATGCGGTTCTGCATATCTTGGACACTGTTTCCGAGTTTCCAGAATGTGAATCCGTTGAAGACTCCGATGATTACCGCGACGAATAATCTTCCATAAAGATAGGAAGATTTGCGCCAGTATTGTCTGAACATGCGCTTCGTCAACTCGACTGTCTGTACCCAAGCTGATGCGGCGAATTCCCTTTGCCGTTCATTTGAGACTTCACCACCATGTGGCACAGCGCTACGGACTCTCTTGAGACCATCGATCTCTTCGATAACATTTTGCGCCTGCTCGCTATTCCTCCATTCCTCGTTCCAGTCAACCTTGGTGCCATCAGGTCGCCTATGAGGTCGCGCAGCAGTTTCGAGAATAAACTCGGCGACGTTTTTCTCAGGGGGGCATGTAGCCCCACGCTGAGCAAAGTAGTCTATGACATCCTTGCCATTCTCTCCGATAGGACCGAAGTAGAAGGTGTTTCCTCCAGGATTAAGAGCAAGTACCATGTCGAATTGTTGGATCAAGACCGAGCTCGGTTGGTGGATAGTACAGACAATAGCTTGGCCAGCGGCGCAGAGCTTCTTAAGGAAAGTGACGATCGAGTAGGCTGACTGGGAATCAAGACCAGATGTTGGCTCATCTAAGAACAGAAGTAGGGACGGCTTGGCGGCAAGCTCCACGCCAATGGTAAGTCGCTTGCGTAATTCAACGCCGAGCGAGCTGATGATGGCATCTTGAAGGTCATTGAGTTCGAGCAAGTCAATAATCTTGTCTACATATGCGAGTTTCTCGGCTCGGGGAACAGACGCTTCTTGTCGCAACAGAGCAGAGAACTCGATGGCCTCTCGAATGGTTTGAGTTTCGTCGTGAAGATCTCCTTGGAGGCAGAATCCCGTATTCCGTTGGAACTCGGGTCCCAGCGGCTTTCCGTCAACGAACATCTCACCTGTTACCACACCAGTTCGCTGTCGCTGCGCCAGAGTATTCAGCAAGGTCGACTTGCCGGCGCCGGAAGCACCCATGAGTGCGACCATGATACCAGGCTTCGCATAGCCGTTGACTTTATTTAGAAGTTTACGCTCGCCGCCGAGGTAGGGTACGGTGTACTCGACATCTCGCCAAGTGAAGATTGATTCACTCTTTGTTAGTTGCCCCAATGCCTCTCTCTGTTCCTCGCTAGTAGCTTGGGAATCCTCGACCCTGGTGGCGGAAGACCCGCTGCTGTCGGCACCTTCGTTCTCAATGTCGGATGGTGTAGCAGCCTTCTGGGCTTGCTTCTTCGCTCTTCGACTTTTCCTGAAGATTAGAGCGCCGCCGCCATCAGATGAGAAATCGAACATCTCCGTCGCAAAAACTGTAATGAGCAGATATAGAATCGTGAAAGCAACCACAACACCAAAGTTCCGCCAGAGGTTCGAACGACTATAGCCAAGGGCAGTTTGTAAGTAGTCACTGCCCGCAACCACTCGAGAATTTGGTTTAGACCCAGTAAGAGCGCATCCTTGATACTCTGGTAGGAAGTTAGGACCTCGAGGGACGAGCTGTTCAGGGGCGCAATCCATTACTTGATCCGAGAGCTCATTTGTTAAGACTGCCTCGAAGCTGTAAGATAATGGATTGATCCAATATAGCCATCCGAACCAGATGTACTTGTCTAAGAGTTGTGTCTTGGGTATAGCATACCCCGTGAAGATAACAAGCAAATTGAGAGCAAGGGTAGAGAAGCGCAAAGCCGTATCGATTTCCGGCGATAAACTGGCAAACATCCGGTAGAGGGCCGTGATCATTATCGTCGTGGTATAAACAAATAGCAAGTATATCCAGAACTTGCTTACATCGACATCCAAGTTCGTCATGAAATACATGGCTATCCCAAATATAGAAACCTGAGCAAAGATGACTGGGAAGTCCAGAATAAGACGAGCAAGTGACACGGCAGAAGGGCGGTAGAAGGCGTAATCTCGGTGACGAGCGACGATCACACGGCCACTGACGGCCTTCCCGAGCTCTGCCAACTGAAGCCAGCCAAGGAAGACCACAGAGAAGAACAAGGCGCCACCGCGGGTGAAAGCCCCCGCAGTCGAGAACGGTTCCTTGTAGTAGATGGAGCCGACTATAAGACCGCTAGACATTGTAATGAAGAATTTGGTCCCGAGAGTCAACTTATCCCCGATTAAGAGCCAGAATTCTCGTTTGGTACACGCCCATACCTGGCGAGTGAACGACACTGTGTAAGGGGACTTCTTGCTAACATGCTTCGACTTGGCCTCTTGTACGGCGCCTTCAAATTTCCTCGCGTCTGCGAAATCCGTGCGTTGGAGGTGCTCCTCGTAGTCTTGGACATCTTCCAATAGCTTTTGGTAGTTCGGCGAGTTGCGGAAGGCCGTCTCCAGCTCTTCGGCCGTTTTAGGTGCTCGGTCCTCGAACCCAGGTCTGAAACGCCTCTCATTTGGATCAGTAACTGCGGTCAAGAAATCCGCCGTAGTTTGCCTTTCGGGACATTCAAATCCAAGGTCTATGAAGTACTGTTTCGCATCTTTGGCGGGCCCTGAGAATATTTGCCGGCCTTGGTCGATGACTAGGACTTTATCCATGAGCTCGTAGATGCCTTCACCGGCTTGGTATAGTGTCACGAGGGTTGTCCGATTGCTGATGTCGGTCATAATTCTTAGTGACTTGGCGTAGTCGAGAGCCGTTGAGGCATCTAAACCGCGAGTTGAGTTATCCCATGCCATCACAGTGGACTTTGATGCTAGCGTCTCAGCAATGGACACTCGCTTACGCTCGCCGCCGGACACTCCTCGAGTGTAGTCATCGCCAACGAGTGTATACTAATTTTGTTAGTAACTGACTTACCGAGACATGTTCGGAGATATCTCGGGGGGTATAGTTATTACTTACCTTAGTATGACTGATACCGAATATTTTTAACAGGGCGTTAGCGATGATTGGTATTTCCTCTTTAGCACCCTTCTTCGTCTTATTCATGAGCGCAAATGTGAAAGTTTGCCAGACATTAAGAGAAGAGAAATGAATGTCGTCCTCAGGGTTGTAGTTCACTTCACCTCGATACATCTGCTTCTGCTTCTTGGATGGGATGCCGCCGTACGATATTTCTCCTTCGACAGCCGCAAATGAATCGACGTTGTTGCTGACAGCTTTAAGAAATGTGCTACATCCGGAACCGGGGCGGCCCAGAACAAGCATCATCTCGCCGTCGCGCACACATCCCGTAAAGTCGTTGATTAATGTACGCGTCGACTGATTTCTTCCGAATCGCAAAAAGGGGAAGAAGCGTGAAACAATGTGGTATAGGTCGGGGCCGAAAGTTCCAATTATGGCATCTGGGAGTGTACGAACGAAAGAAGAAGCGCTCTCTACGCCCTTCACTGTGAGATTCTTATATATGACACCGACTCGCTTCTCAGAACCGTGTTCTGTACGCTTTTCAAAGTGGCCATCGCGCATGAATTTTCCCAGCTCGAAATCTTCCTCCTCTTCTGTTACAACCTTCTCATCATCCCCGAGTTCAACTCGAGCCTGTGTTGAAAGCGCATCGGCTGCTTCACTACGACGACTGCGAACTTGAGTCAAATCGAAGTGTCTGCTAGCTTGTGAGTCCCTCGTTCTTGTTCCCTGTAGCCGTGAGAGGTTGTGTCTTAATACCTCTAGCTCCTCCATAGCTTCGTGTTCATCAAAGTGACCAACGTCTCTTTCACCCCAGGTGCCCTCCCCATTACCGGCCGAGTCAGAATCATCGTGTTCATTATGGCCTTCCGGGTCCTGCGTGGTTCCGGTTGATCTTCTCCTATCGAGATGAGTATCTTCACGATGCCACAGATTCACTGGCACTCCAAGCTCCCTACGATGAGAGGCATCGCCACCCAAGCCGCTAGACCACATGGCCCTAGTCTATTAGCCACGTGGATAAGGTTTGTCGGACACGCGTTGCCCACGGGCACGAGTATCTTGGAACGGCTTAAACAAACGATGAAACACGATATTCGTCTCTTGGCTGAATCTGAGAAATCTTTCAGGGGTGGTATGAATACCGTGTAAGTTTGAGAATAGCTATAAGTTTTCGAAATTTGAAATAATTCACTAAGAATCCCACTGCTTTCACTGGAGATAATAAAAATGATGATGATTGATAAATTTAGCGCTAGTTCGAACGACAGCCGTAACAGAGAAATGGTTGATTGTTAAGCAAAGGATTAGGTTGAAAAGCAACCCGATGGAGGTGTAAGTATGAAGTATGTTGAGGCCGGCCCACCACACTTAATCGCCAATCGGTCATGGTGTTAAACATAATATGTGCATTATGCCGACCGGATTCCCTAGTTTATAACAATCTCGAGTTCCACGACCGATGTGTCACTCCGGACCTGTTATCATTAGGAACACACTATTAGCACATACATCGCGGCGTGTACTCGTACAGTACTGATAGGTGAGCCATTGATAACTGAGACGGCCGAATGCTTTTTCAGTGGCCGAAAGTATCCCCGGACATTCCACCACATGTCGGTGAGATAACGACCCAGTCAGCTCAACAAATAAGAACGGGAATAGATAGGCCATATTAGACGACTCGTCGAGGTATACGCAATGGTTAGTACTACTGTGAATCCCAAGGATTACGGTATCGCTGACGGCGATAGATCTTCTCCACTAGTAAGGATGGACGGATCAACTCTTTGATAAAGAATGAAAATAAGTACGTAGATCCCACATATCTTTCGGTGTTAAGTATGGAGTTTAGGTGCGGTACTAAGATCTCAGATTTATTTTGCCTAGAAATACTACAGGATCTCTACCAGCAGGCCGGGACCTAACCAGACCATTGCTATGATAGCTGAATAATCACATAAGCTTACCCTTGCGGCCAACTTCGACCCGAGCCTAATGTCTCAGAACTCCGGGCCTTGCATGTATGTAGGTAGATCTCACGTGGGACCTATACATATGCCTACTTTCAAGATCTAAGAACCCGAACCAATAGGAGTTTCTCCAGAAGACCTCATGTAGATCTTCAAGTTCCTTTTTTTTGTTTCATGATGCTTACAGTATATCATATTCAACATATACACCCCTTTAGTACAAGTTGACGGATAATCACCGATTAGTTCGGAGCAAACGAAATCCCAAAAATGTATGACAGGATGTTTATCATGTACTTAATATATATTAGACGATTGTTATGAGGCTTATCAACGTTGCTAGAAGATTACATGGTGATGCTACACTACGGGGTAATACATCTCAAACCTAAGGTTCCATCCTTTATACATATAGAGTTTACCTAGTGATTTGATGGCTCAAGCAGGCAGAGGAAGCCTCAAGAGTTCCCCAATATATAATACTTACAGTTTACTCTCAAGCCAATAGATGATCTTCTCTAGAAATTGCGAACTCATTCCTACCCGTAGAGCCATGGATACATCTTACCGAGCCTTGTCAGGCTTTGGCCTTTCTGATTGCAACTTTACGCTTACGAAGCACTAATGCTGTGTTTCCCTCATAGTTAATAGAAGCCAATCAGTTAATAGAGATACAGCTAGCTAAGGCCGGGAGATATCTGCCGAGAAATTGCGAATCACTACTAGCCAGCTTCGCGATTCGGGTTTTAATATTGGTAGTTAAGTAGAACCCCTATCTCGACATGTACATAAATTCCCAGTCTGTGGTCCCAATACCCGATCTCACATCAACTCTTCCAGACTCCAGTCAAGGTCAATTAATAGAGATCTTAAAAACCAGTATCTGACAATTATTCAAAGTTTATCTATATAATAGTTGTAATGGATAATTAAGCCGTTAATTCTATTCTCCCCTTCATTCGGGTCATTTAATACGTTTATAGACAATTTCAAGCTACTCCTAAACCTTTGCGATTATATGAGCGCAATATGACTCAAAGATTCACAGCAGCCAGGTCTCTTGTGTAAATGTGTAACCCAGTGCAAGTTAATCTCACTTGTTGGTCGGCCCAAACATTGAAAATCATGGGAATAGACGTGAAATCGGATTTAAGTTAATAAGCAACGCGTATTCGTCACCGTTATAAGATGAAGTTCAGCTTCTAGGACAGTACCTATGGTCATCACTAGGTACCAACGGCATTAATATTGCGCGACTTATCTTAAAATAACTTTGTGTTTCTTACAATATAAGCTTATTCCGCCACATCCGGATCTCCGATTACCTAATAATCGCCTTCAAGGAGATGCTCTGGATCTGATACCCCTTTACCCCTGAGTCTGTGTCGTTGAAGTATAGGACGCTAATAATTACGTGGAGAGTTCCAAGGGCTATCGAGAACAAACTAGGAGTAAGATACCTATCAAATACAAGTTCTCGGCAGTTTCATATATAAATTATATATGTAGGTAGGTACCTAGCTTATGATATCACTTACACATCCTTGTTCCCCCCGCATCAATGTCTTTCATCCTTGCTATGGTTTGTCCACCAATCAAGTTTGTACGACCCGCCATATTTGGCAGTTCATCAAAATGGCGCAACAGACCTCCAGCTGCCATAGAAAAAGTTACGGATATTTTGCCTTGATATAATTTGACTCGATTCTTGAGTTCCGAATAACTAATAAAAGGCTTAATACTATAACTAGATGAAGTCGCAAATTAGATTTGTATTATAAAGGCACTTATTTATTAGAACTGGTAGTCAAATGTACTGTTTGTAGTACGCAGTATCACTAGTTACACGAGATGATATGGTTTCTTTACAGCTATCCAGTGACTTATTAAGTTGTGGGTAAGACTTGGCAATCATGGTTTTTTCCCCTTTTTTTCTTTCTTTTTCCTAATATGTTACCTAAGTATACCTAAGATATGCTCAATAATACATTCAAGACAAGATAAATCATAACCCGGTCAAATAATACATATCAACGAATACAAAGTCGTGATTCCGATTGAGCTGCAATGCCGGAAGCTGAATCCAGATAGTGGCCAGCTTTGATAATGGATAGTATTCCGATGACAATTAATGCGAGAACGGTCGCATCTTGAGGTCCTTATCGTCCTCAGGATTCCCCGGAATAGGAATATCCAAGAAGTTCGGCTCGATATACCAAGCAGGGTTACCACCCCATTCGTTGTCTCCTTCACCCTTCGAGTGCGTAATACTCCATCCGTTCCCCAGCCACCTCAACTTGTTCGATTCGTTGCCATCAATACTTTCCCAGTCATAATCCTCCCACCTGGGTGCTCGTAGAGCCTCAAGCGCATGGAGTGCACTCCCTGGCCATAAACCCACAATACGCTCGCCCAAGCCTCCCTCGCTCTTATACCAACTATGACACGCGTCCGTATAGACAGTACGCTTGAAATATTCATCGCAGTACGCGTCCCAGTCACGTACACGCTCAGGCTTAATCGTCATACTGGCGTAGTCTTCTTTCTGTAGTTTCCGGATACTTTTTATGATATAGTCGCCTTGAGCTTCAAGCATCACAGTTAGAGATCCGGCTCCAATGGCTGCATTCGGGCCGAGCATGATGAAGAAATTGGGAAACGAATCTACTGTAAGTGCGAGATATGCCGTGGGGTACGGTGTGAAGCGTGACTGCAGCGATTGGCCAGTGCGCCCGTAAACTGGGAATGGTGGTGCCGACGAGGTATTGAATCCAGTAGCGCAGACAAGAACATCAAGGGGAACCAAGCGACCCGACTTTAGAGTCACTCCACCTTCCGTTATCGCTTCTATAGGGTCAGTGATGAAGTCTACGTTGTCCTCAACGAGCGCCTCAAGGTAACCCGGACCTGGCGTATTACGCCGGCAGCCAATTCCAAAAGCAGGAATCAAGAATTCTGCGATTTCGGGCTTCTTCGACAACTTCTGTTTCATTGCTTCACTGAATAACCCAATCGCTCCTCTCTGCATCTCCGATTCCTTCAATGAAACAGGGTGGGATATATTGCCGTTTACTTCAATAATCCTGCGAAAGTTCAAGAATTTCTCGGGATCGTTGGCGAATTCTTGACGTTGTTCCGGCGTAACTTCATAGAAAAAGTTGAGCCTAAATCTGAGGTTAAG